GGAGGGGGAGGGGGAGGGGGAGGGCGGCGCTGCTGCTGCCGCGGGCGCCGGAGCAGCAGCTGCTGCTGCCAGCAACGAGGCGCTGCAGACGCTGGCCACGCAGCAGCAGAGCCAGTCCTTCCACAGCGGCTGCAGCAGCAGCAGCAGCAACAGCAGCAGCAGCAGCAGCAGCAACTTAGCGAATTAGCAGATTCTTAGGAGATCGCTGATGTGACAAGGCGGGCTGCTGCCAGCCTCGCCTGTAGCTGCAACTTCTGCACAAGGGCTGAAAGGCTTCAGTCCTCTGTTGGTAGATTTTCTGTTGGCCTGCAAATGGCTTCTGCAGCAGCAGTAAATTAATTAAATTAAACTTTTTTATTAGACTTTCTTCAAACTTAGAGGCCAAGTAAATGTTTTTTCAGAGTCCTTCTTAAAGAAGAGAAAGCTGAGCCCCGAATGCGGGCAGATTGCGCAGCTTTTGCTGCGCAAAGGCAGCTCCGGGCCTTTTGCTGCTGCAGCAGCAGCAGCAGCTGCTGCTGCTGCTGCTGCTGCTAGTTATTTGCAGAATTATAGTTGTGCCACTTAAGGCCGTCGCGCGCACTACGACGCTATGGGGCCGTTGTGCGAATGTGCTTGGACAGCTGAAGCGCGGTGTGAGTTGCGTGGAAGAGCAGCAGCTGCTGCAGCTGCTGCTGCTGCTGCTGCTGCTGCTGCTGCTGCTGCTGCTGCTGCTGCTTACTTGCGAGGTTAGCTCCGCCGCGTCTTTCGCCGAGAACAAATCCCTCAAAAGGCATCTAAAAGGGATTTAATTGCCTTTTGCTGCTGCTGCTGCTGCTGCAGCAAGAGAAGGCTCACGAAGACGGGCCGGCCGCGGCAGAGCCACAGGTGGTTCAGAAAGTCCGAAGCAGCTCCCCGAATGCTGCAGCAGCACTCAGGACTTTTTTTTCTTTTTTTTTTGTTTTCTTTTTTAAAACTTACATATTTATTGTTGACATTACAAAGAAATCACAGCCAACTGCCAGGCACTGCTCCGCAGCCTCTCTGCGGCGGAGTCAAAAACTTGAATTTCAGAAAAGTTGAACGGAGCTCCTACTCTGCATTCCGCACGTTTCCGGAGTCTCCCATGAGCTGATCTCTTTCGCAAATGCTCTGGACGTCTGCAGAAACATTTTTAAAGTTTTATTTCTTTTTTTAAATCCAAAACTCGCGGCAGACGCACTGGGGTGGAGTGTGAACATCTGGCTGGCAGAGCCGAAAGCTGCGGCGGCGATGCAGCGGCAGGGGAGCTTTGCAGTGCACAAATTCGAACCTTTGGAAGCTTTCACGTAAATCTGAAGAACATTTTGTTCAATTCTTTTGTTAATTTCTTTTGTTTCCCTCGAAAAGAAGAAGATCAGCCTACGAGGCAGCCGGCAGCTCGCACGGGGTTCTTGTATGTCAGTGACTGGCAAAGAACCACTCGGTGCGGCCGCGCAATTATGAAACTGCACTCCTCCAATTCTGAACATCTGGAGAAGTGCAAAAGTCATTTATTTCCGCAATTGCGAAGCTTTTCGACTCTGAATGCATTTTTGGTTTTGCATGCATGCAGCAGCCTCGCCTGTTTTCGGCGGCTTCCAAAGTGTGGATTTCAGGTTTCGTCTGCAGCGGGTTTTCGCACTCCGCGTCGCTGCAGGTCGAAAGTATCAATCAATTAATTAATTAATTAATTAATGAATTAATTAATTAATTAATTAATTAATTAATTAATTAATTAATTAATTAATAAGATCGCATGCAAAGAGGGAAGATCGCATGCAAAGAAGACTTGCATGTCCAGGAGGTGGACGTAGGCTCTGCGCAGCCCTGCAACATCGGCTCTTTCCCGCGCTGCAGCAACAGAAGATCTTTTCTTTTTTGAATTTGTTTTCAAATTGAGATTTACCACTTCGAATCATCACATTCCAGCCTCCCTGAGCCACGGGCTTCGCCTCAAACGAGTCTGCTGCAGCAGAAGCAGCAAATAGGAGTCTGCTGCAGCAGAAGCAGCAAAAAGCAGCGTTAGAAGCAGCAAAAGCAGCAAAAAGCAGCATTGGAAGCAGCAAAAGCAGCAAAAAGCAGCATTAGAAGCAGCAAAAGCAGCAAAAAGCAGCATTAGAAGCAGCAAAAGGTCTTTTGAAATTCTCTAAGTCTCGCACGGACCTGCAGCAGCAGGCAGCTGCTGCAGCGCCTCCAAGCAGGCGAAAGTGACTGCGAGTTTGGGCTCTGCGAGGCCCGTGGAGTTCAGAATTCCGAAGGTGAGGGGGTCGACGAGAATCTGAAAAGTTTGTTTTTTGTTTTTTAAATAAAAAGAAAACAAAATAAATTAATTATAATGCAAAATATAACAAAATAAATTAATTCGAATACTTCGCAGAAGTTCAAACTCTCGCAGTGCTGCTGCAGCACCAGTTTCGCGTGGGGCGCGTCGCGCCCGCTCTTGTAAATGGTTTCGCCGGCCAGCAGCGGATTGCCGAATCTGCAAAGCATTTGAACAAACATTTCAAATTAAGTTTTAATCTGCTGCTGCTGCTGCTGCTGCTGCTGCTGCTGCTGCTGCTGCTGCTGCTGCTGCTGCTGCTGCTGCTGCTGCTCACGAAGAATCCACAATGTGGAGGCTGTAGCGCGGGGGGCACTTCTGTGTCGTTCAAGTTTCCAAAACCAGTTTCAGAAATTCGAAATTCAAAAAGTTGAATTACCAGCTGCAGCTTTTCTCTCCACTCCCCCAGGACTCCCTGCACATCTCCTGAAAAGGAAATAATGAATTTAAAAAAATAAAAAATTAAAATGAAGTTTACCTGCGGCGTTTCCAACACTGGCGCTTTCCGCGCGGCCCGCCAAGACAGAAAGCAGCAGCAAACAGATCTGCAACTTGTAGCAGCCGAGCATCCCGAAAAGCTGCTTTAACATGTTATTTAAATAAATAAAAAACATTTGCAAAGATGCATGCAAAAAGCAGCAAAAACTTCTCCAGAAAGCGCAGCTGGGGCTTGCAGCAGCGCGGAAAGCTGCTGCGGACTGCAAGCAATGAAGCTGCTGCTGCTGCTGCTGCAGCGAGTTTCAAGGAATGAAGCTGCTGCTGCGCAGAGTTTTCGACTTTTGTGGGACTTTTGAGAAGCCTTTGAAGTGAATTTCGTGTCAGTTTCTTTCGGAAGCTTCTCAGGCAGCAGAAAGTGCAGATTCCTCTCATTCATGTTTCTGCTGTTCGTGCAAGATTCGAACTTGCACAGTTTGCGGCCCCGAGTTGAACGGCGGCGTTTGTGAAGCGGCGCGAGCGAAAGAAACAAAGTTTAGAAAATAAATAAAATAAAATAAATGAATTCAACAAAGTTAGAAGACGCCGCCAGGTCACTCGCCCGCAGCAGTCACTGTACACCCTAGGGTGGATTCAGAAGCAGCGGCTGCCGCGGCAGTGACCCTTTTGGTGGAAGCTCACGGTGTAACCTGGAGAAACTGATTTGCATTTCTTTGTTTTATATTTCTGCATTTCTTATTGCGGGAATTGGCGCCACAAGCAGCAACTCCGGGTGCCCCCGGCCAAGCGAGCCCGGGCCGCTAGATCACTCTACGGAGAAACTCGAGGTTTCGCAACAGAACAAGTGCAGCAAAACGTCTTTCATGGCACCTTTTCACATTAGAAGAAACAAAAGAAGACAGGGGAGTGAAGAGTGCAGTTGATCGTGGCCAGAAGGCGTTTCAAACTAGTACGGGTTCTGTTCTGCAGCAGCAGCGGCGGCGGAACGGCACTCGAGCGCGCGTTGCTGCGGCTCCTGCTGGCTTCTGCCGGTGTTAATCAGCTTCTTTTAAAGGAATTTCAGGAGAAATTAACGCAAAGAAGTGCAATTGGGAGCTGAAGCGGCAGCAGTTCGGGCGGACTGGCTGCGGAGTGCAGCGCGACTGCGGCGGTTCGCCGCAGGACACCTCGCCGGGGCGCATGCACTTAATTGCGCAGCCTTTAGAGCATTTCGCACTCGATATTCTTTTGATTTTGCAAAGGGAAACTCCAGAAAATCGCCGCTTTCCAGAAGACAAAGCCCTCTGCAAAGGCCGGGTGTCCGCTTGTCCGCCAACAGCCTCTCCCAGTGCGACGGAGGCACCCACAGGGGGAATCTCCGGCGATCCGGCCTCCTGCGTGGCTTTCGCGGGTTATTTTTGCTTTTTTTGTTGAAATAATTCCCAAAAATTGCATTTAAAACCTCCAAATCGGCCAAAGTCTTCTGCGAACTTCGCCCTGAAGGCGCTGCAGCGCAGCACCGCCCCGGCGGAGCCCCATCCACTGCGGCTGCTGCTGCTGCTGCTGCTGCTGCGTTCTCTGGCGGCTCTTTTTGCGCACTTTTTGCTTTTCCAATTCCTCCACTGACGCAGCTCTTTGCCTCTCGCTGGGGCCCCTGCCTTCGTTGCTGCTGCTGCTGTGGCTGCTGCGCGCAGCAGCAGCAGCAGGAGCTGCTGCTGCTCCTCTGCGGGGAGCTGCGGCGCTTCCTCGCGTCCTCCCGGCCCCACAAACGGCCCCCGCGGCTGTCTTCTGAAATATGTGCTGCAGCAGCAGCAGCAGCGCCGCCCCACACTTCCCTGCTGCTGCGCTGCAGCAGCTCGCTGGCCCCCAGCGGAGCCTCAGGGGCTCTTCTCTTAGCCAAATCCCCTTGTGAATTTCGGGGCAGCTCGGGGGCCCCGCAGCAGCTTCTCGGGCCCCACACTTGCCACTCTTTGCTGCTGCTGCTGCTGCTGCTGCTGCAGTTAGTGCGCAGCAAACGCGAAAATGAGGCCTCGCCGAGCTGTACAGACACCCGGGAGGCCCCTCCTCCCCCGCAGCAGCAGCAGCAGCAGCAGCAGCAGCAGCAGCTCTCTGGGGGGCGCGGAAGACGTGGCTGCGCGCAGCAGCGGGAGGCGGCTGTTTGCTGCTGCAGCGCAGCACGGCGCAGCAACAGCTTCGGTGTCTTGTGCTGCAGCAGGACAAGACGACGAGTTCAGCAGCTGCAGCAGCGGGCTGAGCGACAGCAGCGAAGACGGGGCGGGCAGCAGCAGCAAAAGCGTGCGCAGCCTCGGCAGCCGCAGCAGCTGCAGCAGAAGCAGCAGCAGCAGCAGCAGAAACAGCTGCCCCACCCCTCGCGGGGACAGCCCCGGGGATCGGCAGCTGTCAGTCCCAGCAAGTGTAGCAGCAAGTACAGCTCCTTCTGCTGCTCTTTGTGTCGAGAGCCTGCAGGCTCCTCTCGGCGCTGCTGCTGATGCTGCTGCTGCTGCTGCTGCTGCTGCTGCTGATGGCGGCCCCTGGCTGCTGCAGGGCAAGCTCAAGGCGGAGTCCAGCAGCAGCAGCGGCGCCCCAGGCGCCTCCTCTGCTGCTAACGGCGGCAGCAGCGAAGCAGGTGCAGCAGCAGCAGCAGCTCCTGCTGCAGCAGCAGCTGCTGCGGAGCACCCCGCGCCGGCCGCAGCTCCAGCAGCTGCTGCAGCTGCAGCTGCTGCTTCTGCTGCTGCAAGCGGCAACAGCAGCAGCAGCAGCAACAGCAGCAGCTCTCTTCCGGATGTGGGGAAGGAGGCGGCGGCTGCGGGGTGTCTCGACCGTGCCGCCGCCGCCGCTGCAGCAGCGCCTTCGCGCGGCTGCAGCAGCAGCAGCACGCAGCAGCAGCAGCAGCAGCAGCAGCAGCAGCAGCAGCAGGAGGTGACTTCTTCGGCGCAGCCCTTCCAGACGCCGCGTTCTTCTGTGTCTCCTCAGAGCGCGCCGAGTGTTTTGCGGCGGGGCGGCGGCGGCGGCGCAGCAGCAGCAGCAGCAGCAGCAGCTGCGGAGGCCGCGGGGATGGCGGCTGCGGTGGCGGAGACAGCAGCAGCAGCAGCAACAGCAGCAGCAGCAGCAGCAGCGCCGCAGCGCGTCGGCAGCAGCCTGGCGGCTTCGAGCGGCTGCTGCGGGCCGCGGCTGCTGAGCTTCTCGAGCGAGGGGCTGCTGCCGGCGGTGCCGGGCGCGCAGCAGCAGCAGCAGCAGCAGCAGCAGCAGCAGCAGCAGGAGGCGTGGAGCAGCCGAAGCAGCAGCAGCGCGAGCAGCCCGTCGCGGCTGCTGCGGTGGCAGCAGGCGGGCTGCTGCGCCGCGTGGACTGCAGGCAGCAGCAGCAGCAGCGCAGCAAGAAGCAGCAGCACGCACTGCGAAATGATGCAGGCCTTGCGGCAGCAAGCTGACTTCAAAGCTTCTGTAGATAAAGCTGTGCTGCTGTTCAACAAAGAAGGTCTTGCTGCTGCGCTGCAGTGGCTGGCAGCTCGCAGACTCATCGAGGCCCAAGACCCTGCTGCTGTCGCCCGCTTCCTCTACGACACCCCGGGACTCGACAAGAAGAAGGTCTGCTGCTGCTGCTGCTGCTGCTGCTGCTGTCTTGCTGCTGCTGCTGCTGTCTTGCTGCTGCTGCTGTCTTGCTGCTGCTCTCTTGCTGCTGCTGCTGCTGCTTCTGCTGCTCTCTTGCTGCTGCTGCTGCTGCTCTCTTGCTGCTGCTGCTGCTTCTGCTGCTGTCTTGCTGCTGCTGCTGTCTTGCTGCTGCTGCTGCTGCTGCTGCTGTCTTGCTGCTGCTGCTGCTGCTGTTGCGTTTTGCGGGTTAAGTTGGGTTCCCGGAGGCGTGACTGCTCGTTTCTCGGCTCATTCTGCGTCTCTGCTGCTGCTGCTGCTGCTGCTGCTGCTGCTGCAGGTCGGCGAGGTGCTGGGGGGCTGCAGTTCCTTCTCGCTGCTGGTGCTGCAGTCCTTTGCTGCTCGCTGCGACTACAGGGGCTTATCTGTAGACGAAGCCCTGCGGCAGTTTCTCTCCAAGTTCCAGCCCCCCGGCGAGGCGCAGCAGGTGTACAGACTGCTGTTTGGCTTTGCTGCGCTGTACGTACGCGACAACTCGGGGCTCGACTTGGACTCAGTTCATTTTTTGTCTTATGCCATTTTGCTGCTGCACACCGACCGCCACAACTCCAAAGTCAAGAGAAAAATGACAAAAGATCAATTTATAAAAGTGGTTGCTGCTGGGGCTCCCGCGGTGCCGCAGCAGGCGCTGGAGTGTATGTACGACAGAGTTGTTGGCCATGAGTTCAGGCTCAACATCACCGAGACAGACAGGGTCAGCAGCAGCAGCAGCAGCAGCAGCAGCAGCAGCAGCGGCGGCGGGGGGGGCGGGGGG